AGATCTAAACAGGTACAAGTTACTTTGGACTAATTTCTGAACCATTTTTGAGCATTTTCGTGCCATTTTGAACAAATTTTTAAGAGATTTTTCGCGAGTTTTGGACCATTTTTGAGTCACTTTTTCAGAATAAATGTTTTGATTCATTTTAAAATTGTGGGACATGTTGGGACAAGTTTTACATTATTTTTTGGACACAGGCAAAAGCGGCTCCAAATCCAAAATTACAAGCCCAATTTTTAATTATTGACCTTTAAAAATGAAAGACTTTTAATCCAGGGTGGTATTATGACTCCGGAAAGTTCCTGTAAGTGCATAAATATGGATGGAACCATGTTTCTACTAAAATAGTCTTTTGTCGACATATTACCAGCTTTTGAGGCTCTAACATCAGTAGAATTTGGCAGGGCTCCATTTTTTCTTGCTATTTTAACCAAAACATTGATGTGGACTCGTTGGTAGGAGACAACAACTAATGTTCATGTGGGTCTATATGTTTTCATTATATGTAAATATGAAGCTGACATTGTCTGACCAAATGTTACCCGACATGGACTTGAAATTGAAAATGAACCAAGAAACCAATGATAAATCATAATATATCTCGTGTTTGTTGAAACACATTATTAGTAAAAGTGCTGGTATTGTGGCCCCAGAAAATTCCTGTAAGTGTATATTTATGGATGGTTCCACATTTCCTACTAAAAATACAGTCTTTGCTCGACATATTACCAACTGTTGAGGCTTCTGAGTTCTGTTTCTAGAGGTACTGAACACCAAATATGGCTTTGAAACTAAGAAATCTTTTTTACAATCAAGAATAAAGAATTTCCAAGTTGTGAAAACAAAACAAATTCTCAAAATGTTTTACAGACCTTAGTTTTTGGCCCCAGTGAACACATTTAGGAGGACTTAACAAGACTGCATCAATATATTTCCTGAATTCTGTCTGAATTGACAGAAACGGACCCTAACGTGTTGTTGTTTCGACTGTCCAGGCACCTTGTGGGCGATCTTCATCCTCTTCACGCTGCCACGTCTCACCTGCAACATGTTTTGTCCCAGCGGCTGCTTTTGCGACTTTAAAGGCAGCGTGGGATGCGTCGGCGACACCATCACTGATATACCGGAGCAGCTGCCGCTCCACACCTACCTGCTGAAGCTCAATGGCACCAACATGAACGTCATCAAGGAGCAGAGTCTGGCCAACCAGGACCTCCTGCTGCGTCTCAGTCTGACCCACAGTCATCTTCACACCATCCATCCTCAGGCCTTCCACGCAGCTCCTCAGCTGAAGTCCGTCAAACTGTCGTCCAACGACCTCTCGACTCTTCCTGCCCGAGTCTTCAGTCCGCTGGCCACTCTGCAGCAGTTGCATTTAGACGCGAACAAGCTAGAGATTCTCGCTCCGGATATGTTTGAAGGACTTGTCGGGCTGCTGGATCTGGACCTGAGCCACAACAAACTCACCAGTCCCGCTTCGGATCTTTTTGACGGCCTCACCAACCTCACCTTTCTGAACCTCGGCAGGAACTCCATCCGGAAGCTTCCACCCACCATCTTTAACTCGCTGACTGAACTTCGCCGGCTCATGATCTACAACAACGAGCTGGAGGTTCTGGAAGTCGGGATCTTTGATAAACTCGTCAACCTTGCGGAGCTAAAGATCCACCACAACCAGATCTCTAGCCTCCCACCTGGAGTGTTCTGGCACCTGAGGAACCTGAAGACGCTGACGTTGTCCTCCAACCGACTTGTGGCGGTTCCGGACAGGAGCTTCTACCACATGCCCACGCTGAGCAAACTCACCCTTTACAACAACCCGCTGTTGTCTCTACCGGACGAGCTGATGGGCTACATGCCCGAAATTGCAGAGTTTTATCTGTTTGGCACCAATCTCACCACAGTTCCTGGAAACGTGTTCGCCAACATGTCTGGGCTGCTGAGGCTCAACTTCCACCTAAATGACCAGCTGAAGGAGCTGCCACCTGATCTTTTCTGCTGCCTTCCCAAACTCATGAAGCTCTCGCTAAAATCCAACAACCTCAGTCACCTGCACCCGGAGCTGTTCTCCAACCTCCCCACGGTGGGCATTCTGGCCCTCAGCAACAATCAGCTGGAGAACCTTCCAGAAAACATCCTCCGGGGCCTTAGAGGGGTTTTGAGCATTGACTTGAAGAACAACCAACTCAAGACTCTTCCAGGGGATACTTTCACGTCAAACACAGCTTTGAAGGGTCTTTCTCTGAGCGGGAACCCCTGGGACTGTGATTGTGATATCAGAGATATTGCAAGGTGGATAAAACTTAATGAGCCCGTTGTTCTTGACAGCGAAGACGTGATGTGTCACAGTCCAAATTACCAGCTGCTCCGTAGGGTCACATCGCTGCGTAACGACGAATTCGACTTTTGCGACGCTACAACAGTCCGTATTCCTGCAACTAGTGAGTCACACGACTTATCGCAACCATTTCTCAGAGTTAGAACCCAGCAGCAAACATCGTTTGCACCTTCCACAA